TATTTTTTTTTATACGTTAATTATTATAAAAGATATTTCTACAATTTTGTTTTAAGTTTCGCTGAATTTATAAATCTTTCTTTTAACGAAAGCCTGTCAAATGATGAACGTAGAGATTAAAACGATGATACTGTTCGGTATGTGAGTCATTCTTTACTACAAGGACAATGACGTTTACATCCGGTTGACCAAGCTTGATGGCGCAAGCTGTCGTTACTCGTTACATTCACCTAACGATCGGTCGAGGTGTGCAAGTTGAAGTTTCGTAGTACGGCTTAATGATCTGGAATCTTGAAGGAATATCGGAGACTAATTAGGCCAGGGCGTTTCTTAATGGGTTACGTTAGATGGGTACACTTTACCAAGCGTGAATTCGGGCATGCCGGGAACGTCGAAACTTTCCTTCAGATCTAAAATTAGCTAATAAGTTTTTTTCTTCTTCTTCTTTTTTTTTCAACAACTAACATTATTTCCCTTTTAAGCGAAACTTCGAATGATCACCCCCCAAAAAAGACCCCATACCTTTCAATTAACCGTAATTCGCCCTAAGATTACATTATTTTTTATATATTTTTTATTTTATTATTTAAGATTAAATTATTTTCTTTTCCTTTTTTATGCAATAGTTGCGCTTAGTTATTAACAAATGATAAACTCTATCAAGAGGTGAATTATTTTGAATATTTGGTCAATACATTTCAACGATGCAATTTTCGTACGATTTTCAATATATTACATATTGAATTATGTAATAAGAGAGAACTCGCTAGCGAATGATTGGTTATATTCAGAATCAGTTGTTTTTGCATTTCTTTTTCTCTATCTATCTCTCTTTATCTCCTTTTCATTTGTGGCCGCGTGTTTCTTTCTTTTTTCCATTAATATCATTGACCATTAAAGTTGGCATGAGCGGTGAAGATAATTATACCGGCAGCTTCTAAATGAAGGCTCATCGCTTCGGAAAATATTGGAAAATGTTTTCTATAGCGTTAATGGTGATGATGAATGCCAATGCTCAATATTTTATTTCTACATTAGAAATTGCGATCTTCTGTTTTATGCCCTTTGCCAATTTCTGCATAATTATCCACTTTTATTATCAAGTATTATTTTTTCAAAAAGTTTCCTCTGTAAGATACTGTCACAAATCTCTTTATATGTATTTTTTTTTTTTTATTTATCAAAGAATTATAAATAGGAATTTATAGTCGGAGTCTTGTTTATTTTTATATCATTTTTTTTCTCTTTTATTTTTCAATTTAGTATAATCTTTTAATACCATCAAAGTAATTTTTTGACCGTACGAAAGTCCATCCATTCGTAATCTTATTTATTCTCCAACGTTTTCTTGAATACTTCAAAGAGTAAAAATGATTCTTTTTCTTTTTTATTCATAACAAATTTTTTTCCGATTTAAAAACTCGGACATGCTGATTTCTTTTCATGGTTTTTCAATGTTATAACTTCGAAGTATGACTACTAAGGGAATATAATTGAAGAATTGAAGAAGAGTTTATGAAGAAGGGATTTTGTAAAAACGTGATAGTTTTCATTGATACATGTTCGTAAGTGTCAGCTGGTTAACACAATTTTCTCCTCACAATATATATTTTTTTTCTTTATTTTTCCAACGGAAACAAGACCTCTCACTTTAACGATCTTTTGAAAAAGAAGACAAGTATTAAATCAAATATTTCGTGAGACTGGAAAGATACGGTATACTATTTCTCAAGTAAATTTTATTTTCTATGTTATATTTCATTATGAATGCTAAAGTGTACGTTACACTTACGTACAAACGACAATTAAAAACGGTAAATGTTAATTGCGGTACTTGAAAAACTTTATTTTCATTGATACTTACAATTACAATTCATTTCTGTGTTATTCAAATACTTTTTTAGCATCAGCGATGCTTACATAGATTTCGATTATCTTGAAACTTTACCCACATCATAATTGTTGAAATATTTTCATGAATCATAATAGTTGAAGCCTATAATAGAACTGTGCAAATATTTTATTCTCTTTAGATTTATTCTTTTTAAATAATCCATATATTTTATCTGATATATTATTATTTTACTTACTAAAAATTGTTTGTATTTATAATTGTTTTTCTTATAAATACATATATCTACCATTGTATTCTATTGTCCAATATTATCATGAGTATATAAACTCTATTTCTATCCGTTTCTCTATTTCTGTTACTTTCCCTCATGTCATTCGCGCGAGAGACAGTACCTATGTGTAATACTGTCTCATAGCGTTGGTCTGATTAGGAGATAGGTAAAAGGGCCCGGCGGTCATTTATATATGCTATGGATTCAACAAAGCCGAAAACAATCGGCGTTGATGTCCTTCTGACCTGCAGGCTTTGCCCGAGAAATTAATCGAGCACCGTGTTGCAGCAAATAGCAAGCTTCCCGTTTGCTAGCTGCCACTATCAAATCAACCACTACACTACCATCTCTCTCACCATTCTTATTATTACTTGATTTCTGTGAAAGTTTCAACAGACTTCTCAGTATTTTACAAAAAGAGAAAAAAAACCAAGGAAAGGCCGGAAGGAAATTATTTTGTATGTGTGTGTGTGTTCATTTCGAACGATAATCTCGAAGAAAGTTGACCCCAAAGAATATTTTAAGGATATAAATTTTGTCCTCACTTTCGACTAGTTTCTGCCAAAAATCTTCACCGGGGAATGCTTCTTCCTCCTATCCTTTCCTTATTGTCTCCTCGTCAAGTCATCTCTTTGCCGCATGACTTTTGCTCGAATTTTAGTTGCTCCTAGCCGCTTGAAAACGTTTCAACGGTAGATTGGCAAGCCTTTCAAAGGAGTTTCCGTAACGGTCTAGGAGAACACCTTTTGATCCCTTTTCTCGTCGGTCGGTCTGTTCGCAAGCAGAGCGTCGGAATTCGTCGAATTGTGTGCGATTTCACATTTGAGTTGGGAATTAACGTAAGTAGAAGTTCTACGCGCGAGGTTAGCTGCGGTTCGTTTTAACTTGCTCGTCGGATTCGAAACGCGCGTATTCGAACACGGTGCAATTGCAATGTTCAGAAATCGTCGATGCTATTCGTTCGAACGCCTTGTAAAGGAGTTGGGGGAGGAAGGAAGGAAGGAAGGAAGGAAGAAAGGAAGGAAGGAAGGATGGAAGAAAGTGGTAGGTATCGCTTGCTGTCTGATCAAGAGTGCTATTCTTTTTCAAAGCGATAGCTACGGGTATACAGAATCTATCGAATCGATCAGTAAGATAAAGTATTTTCGTGCTTTGGCGAAAAGCTCTTTCCGCGTTTGGATAAGACTCGAATTCGAAGAGCGATGAGATGCATCGTGCTCGTCGAGTTTGAAAGGTTAAATGCGAAGTGGGGGATAGAGACGGTTAATTAGCTCTCGCCATAATCCCGATGGTTTTGGACCACATGCGCGTGGCTTAATGCACGTTTATTGCGTGCAGCTGGAGCTTACGTGCGTTCTCGCTACATTCTCTTTCTCTGTCTGTCTCTCTTACTTACTCTCACTCACTCAGTCACGTACACATACCCATATACACATACTTTCTCTTTCTCTCGATCTTTCTCCGTGCAATTCAACTCACTCGTTCTGTTCTGTTCTGTTCTGCTCTGTTCCTACCTCCCATTCTCTTTCTCGTTTTGTACAGTCTGGAACGAGCAACCCTTTCCGCCCTGCTTTTCTCTCCCCCTATCGTCGTCGCTAGTTCCGCAGTCGGAACGCTTGACGCTCTAAAACATTCAATCGTTCGTTGCCGCTTTATCCCACAATTTGTCAATTACTGACTAATTAATAACGCTCCTATGCCAGGGTACCTAACGGCTAACTGAGAAATATTCTTGTTGAGTTCATGTTAGAAATTTCGTTTCGATCGATTTGTCGATATAATAGTGCTATACTTCTATTTGAACTATATAGAGTGTCCTATAGTTCGAATTTTTTTCTTCGCATTAACTTAGAGTAGAGCTTTCGCTTTCGTTTTCGTTTTCGTTTTCTCTCTTGCAATATCGTTCGTAAAATGCGCAAAGTACCGTAAATTCTTTCAAAATTAACAGTCCTTTTGGAATTTACGTTAGTTTCTCTTTCCCAACCTATTTCTTTATATCCATTCGTATCTATTCTCGACACGGTTCGTCGAAAACATTCGCGAACGCGAGCTTGAAAGGTTCGATCTTATTGTCAGTCGTGCGAGGGTTGTGCACCAGGAAAAAGAGGCTCTTACCCCGTTTCTCTCTTATACCACGGTAAACCAACGATAGAAACGAGAAATCCTATAAGCTTTCTTTTATCGCGGAGACGTAGTCGATTTAAAGGGGGTAAAAAGAAGCTACTACGATCGTCACAACCCCCGCCTTCGTTACTTTCGTTTCTCTTTCCGGACATGCACTGGACGTCTCTCATTTTCTATTTCGAGAAAAGTAGAAAGAGAGAGAAAGAGAAAAAGAACCAAAAAAAAAGAAGAAACGAAGCAAATTTTACCTACCCCGTTGTATCGGTAAGGGGAATCGATCGCTTATAATTCTAAACGTTTTCTACTAAGAAAAACTTTTCTCTCTCTCTCTCTCTCTCTTTGTCTTCTATCGTGGAGGATCATCGAGTTGTCGGAATATTCGGCTTAATTTCGTAAGTTCTCCGGGCGTCGTAGATGGGCCCGGCAGAGGAATAAGAGAGGAAAAGAGAAAGAGATAGGGTGAGGGTGAGGGTGAGGGAGAGAGAAAGGGAGAGAGAAAAGGAGGGTCGATCGGCCGGCGTCGATGAGCGGCGGCGCGGTAGCTGCTGTGGCACTCTTTCGGCACTCGGAGTGCACTCGCGTGTGCACTCCCTAGTATAGGGGAGGATGGTAGGGGAGCACTCTTGCGCGCACGAGGCACTCTCGGTGTCAGGAAGCAGGAGGGTGGGTGGGACGGGCACCGCGACGCTTCTCGGTAGTGCCACGAACTAAAAGTCCGGCCGACATAGCGCGCCAGTGTTGAGCCCGCGATCGTGGCGAGCGTACGCGTTTCTCGTACGCACCGTTCACGCAAGGATACACACACACACACATATACACATATATACACGGACGCGCGCGCAAAAAGCTGTCACACGTACTTGTACACACTATACTAACATACATATACTCATATAATACATATACTCATATATATATATATTATATATTATATGTATATATATATATGTATATGTATATATGTATATACATACAGATAAACGTATATACGCACATTTAACACAATGTACAAAATTTAACGTCTCTCGTAAAGCCCGTGCACGCGTAACTTTGACGCAACGAGAGAAGACCTTTGGACTCACTCAACGGTGGCATCTGATTATTTTTTTTTTCTTCTAAACAAGGTCTACATTAGTTATTATGATTTAACAAAAAAGAGGATCTCGTATCATCGAAAGAGATATATATATATATATTTTCGTTTTATATACGTACACAACGTAAAGAAGAAAAAGACGAAGAAGAAGAAACAACGACGAAGACGAGTTTCCAACGACGCGGTCCCTTACCACGTTTACCGCTCCCTAGGGAACCTTTTCCACTTTTCTTCTACTTCTTCTACTTCTTCCATTTCTTTTTTCTTCTACGTATTCTCATCCTCCTTCTATCCTCTTTTTTCTTTTTTACGCTCTTTTTAGTTCTCGTGTCTCTTTTTCCTCTCTCTTTCTCTCTCTCTCTCTCTCTCCGACGGCACTTGTGCGATCGAGAAAGCGTCGATAACCTCGCCAATACGTGACCCTCCTTACTCGATCAGACTTATCGCGCTATCAGAGATTTTACTCTCGTACGAATCTTATTCGACGTCGAATTACCGCGCTGGGATTATTGCAAAAGACCAAGTGGAGAAAAGAAAAAAAATCGTAGAGAAAACGAGATCTCCGCGATCCTCGATCGCGATTCTTAACGAGTTAGTCGAGTTTTTCCATGATCGAACATCCGGTAATTGAGAGATTCCGTACTCTCGATGACTGGACGATTATTGTCTCTTTCTCGTTTTCCATGTCACGAGTTACTCATTTTTTGTCATCTACCAGCAGCAGTACGTAAATTTCATGCGAGGGATGGGGTTTTTAATGATAAGGACGGATAGGAAACGCCCTGGGATCATTAATTAAATTTTTGTATTTTTCATTTTGCTTTTATTAAATACTCAGTGACTATGCTGCTACTACTACTCGTTAATCGTATTATCTTCTATTGTAACAGTAATTCGATCGTTCGATCGTGTGACAACGATCGACCCTCGAGGTTTTTAATTATTCGTGGTTGTTGTAGTAACACGAATCGCGAGAGTCAATGACTTCTTCGTTTAGTGGTGGTAGGTCATGTTTCTTTGTTTAAATTTCTCTGCTTGGTTCTCACCCTCTCTTTGAATTTTCACATATTTACCCTTAGGCTTGACTTTAATACGAGCTTTTAATGGTAACCACTTTCCATCCACAACCAACCTCCTTATTCTCAAATGCAATTATATTAAGAATAGCAGGGAGCATCGTTGAAAAAAGAAAAAGGTGGTAGAAAGAAAACGCGCGAGTTTTATTTCAAGCAAATTGTGGAAGGTTACTCTTTATACAGTTGCTTTTATTATGAATACGCGATCATCGAAAATTGAGGTGGAAGAAGAAGAGGGAGGAGATAGTCGTAAATTCTTTTTTCGTTGCCGAAACGAGAAACTCGTTCTCCTGACATCGTATGACGTAACTTTAATATATTCCCTTTTTATTCGTAGCTTTTGCGAAAAACTTCAATATCGTATATCCTCGTTTTCGAGAACGGTGTCGATTAACATCCAGAGTATTTCTCTCTTACCATAGAAATTCTCGCTATCGTTGATCGACTACGAAATATCTGTGATATTGGACGATTCCTTTATCGATCGTTAATGTCTGTTCTTCGTGTGAACCGTTCTTCATCTTCAAATAGGCCGGAGAAAGTAATAACCTTCGGAAATACAATATATGCTAGTACAAGACTTTCAATTTAACGAGTGATCATATAGGGGAAAAGATGATGATAACATATAATAAAGATATTTCGTGACGTTTACATACGTGATCTAATAAAATATTCCAAAATATTATCGATAGAGTGTTGTTTCTTCAGTAAGAAAGATTGGATAGGAAAATTGGACTCGATGTAAGATCAACTATTATCTATACTGTTGACGAAAGGAGGAGATCGATATATATACTATAATATGATAGCAGATCGAACTTTCAGAAGGTCTACTGCTACTGCTGCTGCAGCTATTTGAAAAAGTATCGACGTAATAGCAAGGATGGACTATCGAATTATAAAACTTCTTGAGAGAAGGCAGAGGTCGATTCGAGAATAGAGGTTGCCTTCTCTTCTATCTGGGAAGAGGTCCTTCAGAAGCGAGAGAACGATATCACTCGTTCGTTCGCTAGGAAAGATCAAGTAAAGACGAGAGGAGATTTAAAACGAGAAGAGACGATAGGAAAAGATAGAGAATGAGAGAGAGAGAGAGAGAGAGAGAGAGAGAGAGACAGATAGAGAGAGATGAAGAGGAAGAGTCTTGCAATTAATCATTTAGTGCTTTTATTCGATTACGCGTTGCAAGACGCTGCAAGAGAAGGTACAAGGAAGTCGATGGAATGAGGTCACCGCAAACGACCATGGCAAGGTTCATCGATCAATGTTCCAGGACGATCTTAAAGGATTTTTAAAAGATGAACGGACTGCTGCTGCTGCTGCTACTACTGATGCTGGACGRATAGACGAAATTATTTGTCGCCGTGATGTTGTTGCGCAAGTCGTCGCTTTTTCGAGAAACCAGGATCGGGTTAGGTGGATGAAAGGATCTGTTTGCAAAGAAGAGGGAAAGCGCGCTTCGTCGAGTCCTAATTCGGTTGGTCGGATCGTTAGGGCGGTATTCAAGTGCGAGTCGCATTCAAACTGACTTTCTTCTTGCTATCGTTTTCTCACTCTATCTCTTTCTCTCTTTCTATCTTTTTGCTTTGCCGTTACTCTTTCGTTCTCGTGGCTCTCGTGTACGTCGTCCTCAGGGAAAAACTGTCATCCTTCCTCTTTATCTTTCCCTCTTTCTCTTTATCTCTCTTTCTCTTTTAGATCCTCTATTTCTTTTGCTTTATATCTCTTGCCTTGTTCTACTCCCTAGCCGCACTTCACTATACTTCTTTTCGAGTTTTCTCGCGCACGAAAGGTCGTCGCGATCCAGAAGAGAGAGAGAGAGAGAGAGCTAAGGGACGAGAGAACAAGTTTCCTTGACCCATTGAGTTTGCTTACCATTTCGGTTTTTCCCCCTTCTTATACTTACTGACTTTTTTCCTTTCTTTTTTTCTTTTCTTTTTTATCCAAACTTTTTTTTTCGTCTTACCTTCTTGCTTGCTCGCCGAACAAATCATTGACAAGATTCGCAACAGCGAAAACAACAATCCTCAAACGTCCGATATTTTCTCTCTCGAGCATCGAATCGAGAAAAGAAGAAGAAAGAGTGTGTGAGAGAAAGAGAGAGAGAGAGAGAGGAACCGTAAAGAAACTTGGAAACTCGTCTTTGTTATTGGAAGAGAAAAGAAGAAAAGTTATTTTCAACGATTGAGCTATACTCAACGTTGGTTGTTTCTCGATTTCACAGATCGAAGAAGAAATTCGACAACTGTAAAGTGTGACCGGTGATGATGATGATGATGATGATGATGATGATGATGATGATGAAGATCGTGCGGAGATGAAAGAACATAATACTAATTGATATATAAAAATAAAATAGGAGAAGAAAGACAGTTGTTGTTTTGCCTATTTGTTTCGTGTTGGAGGAAGTAGAAATAAGAAAACAGATAAAACAAGAGAAGAAGAAAAAAGAAACTCTCTTATCAAATCTATACTTCATCGTGTAAAACTGTAAACTGGTAATGGAAGAGAGTCATGATAAATAATAACTTGTGATTATGAGTGACGAACGCAAGATAATTCGTTTTTATTTTTTCGTTGATATCGATTCGTGTTGTATCCGTTGTTAAAAATTGATCTATCGAGTAACGGGAAAAGTCGATAAGGGAAAAGAAGAAACAAACTTCTTATCTCCGGAGTGTGTATTTTGTTTTTCTTCTTTTTACTCTTACTATATATCCGTTTCTTTCTATTCCTTGTTCATTTTCTTGCCAATTCTCTCACTCTCCATCTTTTTCTCTGGCACCTTTTCACCTTTCTCCCTCCGTTTGGTTTCTTGTGCGCGCGCGACGACGACGACAACACGTCGGAAGGGAGAAAAGCTCCCCTTTTGCGAGAAGAAGACGCGTACCCAGGAAAGTGTGCGGCCGTTAGGTCCGCACCGCGTGACATCATCGTCCGGGATCGTGCGAGAAACTCGCCAAGAAGCTGGAGAACCAAAGACGAGGAAAGACGACGGATTCAAGGTGGAAAGAAAAATGCGGTGTCCTTCCCTCGCCGTTTTCGTCGCCGTCCTAACGACCATACGAGCTCAAGGTCAGTCGTTTTCTTCCTCTATCTCTATTGTTTTTTTTAATTCCCCCCACCACCATAATATCTCTTTCTTTCATTCTATTATTTATACATTTTCGATGCCCTATTTTACGATGCGTATATCCCCTTTCTATTTAATTTTTTTTTACTTGCCTACTTTTTTAAAATACTTTTCTTACATTAGATCCGTTTATCTCTTTAATTATTAGTTAACTCGTTACTTATACTTTTTCTTTTTTTCCTTTTATTTTTCTTCTTCTTCTTCTTTTACTTTTTTTTCTATTTTTTTTATCTCTCTTCCTACCCTTTCCATTTTCTTCTCCTTTTAATACTAGTAACGTTCGTTTTCCATCGTCTTTCTTTCACGAACGATGAGACTATTCTCCATCCTTTGTTCTCGGTAAATCGGATCAAAGTATTCAACCACCGCGCAAAGTTTTATTTCTTTTACCCGATTTCGCGGCTCTTATTCTTCTTTTCGACTCACTAGCCAGATAAAATATATTATATATACATGTATATATATATATTTATATGCCATTTATTGTATATATTATATATGTATATATTTTTATTATCGTTGTTGTTCATAGGCATTACATTTTTTTGACAATTATGCCGTATTTTTCTCTCTCACTCTCTCACTCTCTCCCTCTCTCTCTTTCTCCTTTTCTTTTTAAAATAAAAATTCGCGCGTCGAAATTCAAATACATGGCTTTTCTGGTATCCCCGAGAAAAGAGCATTGTCGAGGTATGTCCATTAATCATGACGCGGTGCTCTGAACGTCCTAAAAACAACAATATTATTTTACCGAAGTTATGCCCCGCCCTGAAGCTTTTTTAAGCTAACGAACTTTCCATGCGGAGCTTCGGTTATTCGTCATGCGAAACAGATTCCTCTACACTTTTTACCCGTTCCTTTTTTTCCCGTGATTTTCACTCGAGAAAAACAAACGTTCGCTTTTCCTTCTCCTCTCTTTCTATCTCTTTCACTCTCTCTCTCTCTCTCTCTCTTTCTTTCTTTCTGTCTCTCTCAAGCAGAAACGATTAAGCCTCGCGTTACTACTTCAACGTACTAATTTCTGTTCGTCGTTTCGTACATATTCTTTGCAAAGATGTGTATTTTTATTTTCAATAAAGCTCGTTAAGTTTTTCTATTCGACGTATATTACTGTTAACGTTTTCATTTTTTACCCTACCTGGGATAAAAGAGTGATGCGCTTTTTATTCAAAGATTAAAGAAACAGAGTGAGAGTGAGAGAGAGAGAGAGAGAGAGAGAGAGAGGAAAAAAGGAGGATGAAAGAGTAGTAGTACCTGATTAATAAAAATGGTTATTAAGAACTCTGCTTTCTAGTGCTTGTTAATTTTTTGCAATCTCTGAAATATAAGCTTTTGGATACGATTGTGTCAACGAAAGGGTTTTGGGAAAGCACACACATATATACCTATGTGTATATGTATGTGTGTGTGTGTACGTGTATGGATACCCAGGTCATATGTGCGTCATCGTGAATACGTTTCTTTGCTCTTTTGGATTGCTTTTTTTTCAATGCAGGCAGAAAAATTGAAAAGAAAGAAATAAAGAAGAGGAGGAGGAGGAGTAGGGAGGAGGAGTGGGAATATAGAGAAAACAAGAAAAAAAAATATATACGGCAACTCGACGAAGCTTTAAACGACCGAATCCTAGGTTATTCTTCATACGCTCGTATATACGTGGCACGTTTCCTCGACGTACATGACTTTTACGCTTCGGAACATATGCGTTTTTGGTATAACAAAACTCGATGCAAAACGCGTTTTCACTCTCTCTCTCTCTCGATCCGTCCTCACCTAATATCCACTACCTTTCACCACTTTTTGACGCGTCAATTTTGAACTCCTGCTTGCAAACGTTAGCACAATTCTACACATTGGACAAACTTATAAGCACACGTCGTATAGATAAAACACATACACATACGTGATCATTATGATCACTCTACATATATACATATAATTATACATATAAGTATACTTTATATATATATATGTATATTACGTACACGTGTTGTATATTTTACTCTATAGAAAAAAAGAGATATTATTTTCATTTTTTTTCCCATTGTTATACATCTCAACGAACAACATTTGCTATTAATCGTAATATTGTTTTTTTGCATGTGCACTGTTATTACATTTGTTACTTATTGACTTGTATTTTAAAATTATTTGCGTGTTATTTGTTGAGCTTAACATATGAGAAAGAATAAGAAAAGACAAATTAAATGATAAACAACACAAAGTTCTCATAAAGAAAAGAAAATTAAAAAATTAAAATGAAAAAAACACATAATAAAAATGGAAATTCAGAGAACGAGTAAACGTGCGTGCTGATGATATTCTTCGCACGGTTATATATAACGGATAACCTATTATAATGTCTACTGCCGAAACAATCAACGTTTTTCGTCCTATAATACGGTAGACTTTAATAAACGTGCTGAACTATAAATCTCAATCGCATGTCCATGAGTATGAGAATATTCTATGATATCCGCTAGTATATACGAAAATTTCTTTCAAAAAAATACACTTTTCGTTTCGTGAACGACCCAACGAACAATGTGATTTTCACACAAGAGAGATAAAATTATTTTTAAAAATTATGTGATTATGGAAAAAAAAAAATAATATAAACGAAACAAACTTCGCGAATTATTATTAACAGATGTTCCCAAACGTTTGCGACATTATAAAAAAAAGAAAAAAACAAATCATATAAATTGATGGAATAAGATTTATCGATGTGTAACAGTTATGATAATTATTTGAAAAAAATTCCTAGAAACTGTGATTCGGTGTTGGTTATTGTTAATCGGTTATAGTAAGAGCAAAAAAATGATAACGTACGATAAAGTAAACATAATAAACTCGTATAAAAAAGAATTCGAGAAGGTCGATGAGAGGAGTCAAGATCGTGCGACCTACTGGGTCACAATTCTTCCTTTTATGTAATCGGATTGATGGCACGCGTTGCTTCAGAGCTAAGAAGAAAGTGGTATGTAAGCACGTGCAATAAAATCGGTCAGGCGTGCTTTCGAGAATTACGAGTTCCCCTTCCTGCAATAGGGGAAGAGCTTTGTCTCCTTCGATTCACTTGGATCATGCGGTGTTATGTTCGCCATACGGACTACGACAGCCGGTGGTTTGGTGTCAGGTTCGCGATTTTCTTCCTTACCAATGGCACGTGCCTCTTTTTACGGTCTTCTTTTCTTCCCTTTCTCCCTTTTTTTTTCCTTTCTTCCCTTCTTTAAATATACCGGATTCTCTCTCTCTATCTTACTTTTTTAAATATATTCACTTAGCATGGGGTTATCGGTTGGATTGTCTAGAAAATCAAATTAGGATACCTGTATATGTTGTTTAAATACCGTTAAATAAATTACCGTTCATCTCATAGATATAATTATCGTTATTAAATTAATATTTAATTAGACTAATTTTTTGAAAAAGATACTTGAAATAAAACTGGTATAGATTGAAATAATAATATTTATTTACTGATAAGGTAAAACATTTTTATAAACGAAATTATGAAAATAGTCACGTTAGTGTTTCATCGCTATAACAATTGTCTTTCTTATCGAGACAACGTACGATGTTTAATAAGAGTTTGATAAGCGATGTAGTAATACGATGAAGTAATTCTTCAAAGGTAGAGACTTCGTCATTTGAAAGAGGATGAGGAGGGTAGAGGGAGAAGGGGAGAGACTGTTGAATTTCGCCGTAAGAATCGCTAGCTTACGAGTAACAGCACTCGGAGAGGGGAAGGGGGAGGGCTGGGGGGTGGAGTCTTATTAAACCTTTCAAGTACGGAAGCAAAGTTTCGCCTAGATTCGTCTGATGCAACGTCGGGATGGAAGCACCGTTATTTAGTTTTATTTGGTTAAAGGGCGAATTACGTTTTTTCTTTTTTCACTTTCGACGAACTTTTTTTTCCCGTGAATAATTAGCATTTAATTGTTACAAACTTAAGAGGTTAAATTAAAATAGGGAAATGATATTATTGAATAGTTTGGGTTCGAATATTTAAGTTCGTGTAAAAAAGAAAAGATATATGATTGTAAAACAGGGTTACAGGAAGAGTAAAACAGTTACAGAGTCAAAAACGTTTATGTCCACCACTGTGTGTTAATAAATTGCGATGAAATGCTCGTTGACCGGTACTTGAGCTTGTTGCGTACCCTCTCAGCAATGAAATTTCGTGTCGAGTAATACTTATGGTTAAAATGTCGTGGATTAAAAAAGTAGAACAAATAGTTTAGTATCATAAAGAGAAAGAGAGAAAGGGAGAGAGAGTGAGATAACGGTATAATCGTAAATAGTCCCTTAATTCGAGAAATAAAATTGCATGCTCGTACGAGCAACGCGCTATTATGTTACGGAGCATTGGGCGTCACATAGCACGTGACCCCACTGCGGTTTCCAGGGTTAATTGTATCGATTCGATATAGCCTCGATGTACCATGAATTTTCTCTCCCGTATCGTGGGGGACGTTTGGGATTATCTCGATTGGCCCCGATAACTTTTGCATCCGGTAGGAGAACGCGATTTGTGCTAGATCGCAAAGAGAATTTCTCGCGTATCCTACGAAATATGTGTGTGCGTGTGTATGTTACTCTTTTACGATTGCTTTAATGTTCAAACCATGATTTTTCTATTTCTATAATTTGTTATTCCAGTTTTTCATATTATTCCCCTTATTCGTAGGATGAATGATGAATTATGAATGAAAACTTGTCACAAAATCGTATTGATCGTACAAATAATTAATCCTGAGATATATGTTCATCAGTGGTAGGTTGTTTCTTGATCGTCATTTTTTAATGGAGAATGAGATTTTGTAAAATTTTATATAGTTGATGACCTATTTTAGAAAAAAGATAATTTTTCATGATCTAATGATCTATATCATAATGAAGATTTAAATTATTCTCATATTTTAATATTTATCACGATTCA